GCCGGTTGAGCTATAGGCGCCGAGCCACTCGTACCAAATTTTGACATATTACTGGTAAATATTTATTGGTTTATGTGTCACCCTTCATTAGAATGCAGTCTTCAATAGAACAGGAACTTTGGAACTTTACTCACTGCTGAGTGCTCAGTGTCTGAAACAATGCCTAGCTATAGAAGATTCAATAAATGATTGCTGAATGATTTAGTACATTTTGCTCCCTGACTGTTAGTCGTGGGAGATGTGTGAACACTGTGGATTTACACAGAAACCCACTGTTGTTGATCCCTAAAGTGTGCTGCCTGCCTCTTTAGAAAACATACACTAGACCTTATAAGGATTCTAGCCCCCACTGATGAGTCCAGCCCCAACTCTGATAATTCCACCTCAAACTTCATCCCCATGTCTCTGGAGTCAACAGAAATTTAGAAAAAACTACTCCTTCCCAGGTGAACTGGTGGGAGGTAGGGCCCTATTTAACAACAAAGCTATCTCTAACTACAAACTACTGGGAAAACTTACATCTCCCACACACACAGGATCTAGTGTAGGCAGCCGGTAGATGGCAAGGCTGTTGGGGTTGTCTCCTCCAGTGGCTAACAGTGTCCTAGAAGGATTCAGCTCAATGGCATGGATACCACAGCCCTGCTGGGTCACACCTCCAGGTTCCCGGTCTTTCAGAATGGGGATCTTGGTGATTTGGCTTGTTTGGACATCCACTACAAACAGCTACAAGAGAACAAGGATACAGAAGTAGAACATAGCTCCTATTTAATGTGGCTGATAGGGGGTAGAAATGTGTTTGCTCAATTATGCACCAAACATTTAATTAATGTCTATTACAGGCTTGACCTTGGGAATTATTAAAGATACGGCCAGGGTTATTAGACAAATAAAACATAAAAATAAACAAATACATGTTTAGGCAGGTATGATATGGCACATGAACACAGATTAGGACGTAAATTTTCCTGGGATTCACAAAAGGCTTCAAAGAGGCCTGTATTAGACAATGGACACAAAAAGCCAGATTAAAACAATTTTTTTTTCAGATTGGACATATTTTATAGATCTAATCCTCACCTACCCATGCACAGAAACGTACAAACAAAACCCAATTCCCAGGCCCGGAACCTGTGGCTCAAGCGGCTAAGGCGCCAGCCACATACACCTAAGGTGGCGGGTTCGAATCCCCAGCCCGGGCCCGCCAAACAACAATGATGGCTGCAACCAAAAAAATGGTCAGGTGTTGTGGCTGGCACCTGTGGTCCCAGCTACTTGGGAGGCTGAGGCAGGAGACTCGCTTGAGCCCAGGAGTTGGAGGTTGCTGTGAGCTGTGATGCCATGGCACTCTACCCAGGGGGATAGCTTGAGGCTCCGTCTCAAAAAAAAAAAAAAAACAAACCCCAATTCCCAGAACAAGTCACAGCCACTTTTTAACACACCTATTAATGTTATTAAGTTTCTTGGAATGACTGGAGATATACAACAGTATTAAATGTTTTTGTGTCTCACTGCCACTGTTCCTAACCTCCTCATTCTGTCTTACATCTCCCTGCCTCTGCTCTTGCAGCTGCCTCTGGCTGAACTGCTCTCCTCTACCTCTTTATCCTCTAAGATTCAACTCAGAAATGGTCCATGGAAAGACTCAGTCTCAGATTCTCTGAGCATTCCCAATAGAATCTATTGTTAAACTTTTCATGTGATTCAATGATTCATCCTTTCATTCACTTATTCATTTGCCTGTACTATGCGTTATGAACAGAACTATGAACAAGAGAAAAATAATCTCTGTCTTTATAAACCTTGTAGCCTAGGAAACTGAATTAAAATCCTATCAGCAATTCTCATGGTAAAGGCAAATCATGGCAAACTTTTATATAAATAAACCTACTGTTTGCATAGAAGGAGATCTATGAAAGGAGAAACTAGATGGGTCTTAAGTTTAAAATATAAAAAGGAAGGAGTAGCTAGAATAAAGTGCCAGACAGGGTGGACAAGGACCATCTCCCAGTCTTTTTTTTTTAGAGACAGAGTCTCACTTTATTGCCCTTGGTAGAGCAATCTCCAACTCCTGGGCTTAGGCGATTCTCTTACCTCAGCCTCCCCAGTAGCTGGGACCACAGGCACCTGCCACAGCCACCTGGCTATTTTTTTGTTGCAGTTTGGCCAGGGCTGGGTTCAAACCCGCCACCCTCGGTATATGGGGCCAGCGTCCTACCCCACTGAGCCACAGGCACCACCCTATTTCCCAATCTTTAATGTCAGTTCCCACAATTACCATGTTTTCCCAAAAGTAAGGCCTACCCCAAAAATAAGCCCTAGCAGGATTTCTATGCATTTGTTAAATATAAGCCCTACCCCACAGTAAGATCTAGTGATGGGCATGGCTATGCAGATTACACATCATGCATTTTGGCTCCCAGCGGTAAGGAAGACTGGAATACCTTTTATCTGCCATAGCTCCTTTCTCAAAGCCATTGGCACTTGCGCAGGCATCCTATTGCGTATGTGCAAATGGCTAGGGGAAAGGAATTCTCGCATCACTAGCGCCAGCCCCACCAACAAGGTCAGCTCCCCATCAGGTTCCAGAAGATGACTTAAACTGTATTTGAATAAATGTAGATTGTTGTATTATACTTAATAAAAGACAACCCCTGAAAATAAGCACTAGTGTGTCTTCTTAAGAAAAAATAAATATAAGACAGTGTCTTATTTTCGGGGGAAACACAGTATTTAAGACCAACAGACTCTCAGCCTGATAGGCATCCACAGGCATTTTAGACTGAAGGTTTTCAGAACAAATGATCTTGCTCCTCAAATTGCTCATTTCCCTAATGCCACCATTATGTGCCCTGTCCCTAAACCTGGGTTTTATCCTAGATTATACTCCATCTGTCTTAATTCCAACATCCAATGCATCAGCTAGTCCTATATATATTTTTTAAGAGATATTAATTCACTTTGTTGCCCTCAGTAGAGTACTATGGTGTCACAGCTCACGGCAACCTCTAGCTCTTGGGCTGGGGTGATTCTCTTGCCTCAGCCTCCTGAGTAGCTAGGATTACAGGTGCCTGCCACAACACCTGGCTATTTTTTTGTTGCAGTTAGGTTGGGGCAGGGCATGAACCTGCCGCCCCAGATACATGGGGCTAGTGCCCTACTCACTGAGCCACAGGCACTGCCCCCAAAATTATTCTTTATATTAGCAGGGTCTAAAAATGGAAATCCTGGCCAGGCACGGTGGCTAATGTCTGTAATCCCAGCACTTGAGAGGCCGAGGCAAGAGGATTGCCTGAGCTCACAGGTTCAAGACTAGCCTGAGCCAGAGTGAGAACAGCCTCTAACAAATAGCTGAGTGCTATGGCAGGTGCCTGTAATCCCCACTATTGGGAGGCTGAAGTAAGAGGATCACTTGAACCCAAGACTTTGAGGTTGCTGTGATCTAAGATGTCACAGCACTCTACCAAGGGTTACCAAGTGAGACTCTGTCTCTAAATAAATCAATGTCTCAGTGCCTGTAGCTCAGTGGCTAGGGCACCAGCCACAGACACAGGAGCTGGCGGGTTCAAATCCAGCCTGGGCCTGCCAAACTACAATGACAACTTCAACCAAAAAATAACCAGACTTTGTGGCGGGCACCTATAGTCTCAGCTACTTGAGAGGCTGAAGCAAAAGAATCGCTTAAGCCTAAGTGTTTGAGGTTGCTGTGAGCTATGACATAACAGCACTCTGAGGGTGAAATAGTAAGACTCTGTCTCAAAATAATAAATAAAAATAATACATAAATAAATAAATAAAATAAAAATAAAAATGGAAATTCTCCCATTCCAGTTTCTAATTTAAAAATATCCAATGGCTCCCTTCCACTCAAAAGCCAAGCTCCTCAGCATGGCATTAAGATTCTGCTTAGGGGTAGGCAGTTGAGTCATGCCTGTAATTCTAGTACTTTGGAAGGCTGAGGTGAAAGGACTGGTTGAACACAGGAGTTTGGGATCAAACTGAGCAACATAGTGAGACCTTGTTTCTATAATGTAAGATATATATATATTTTTTTGAGACAAGAGTCTCAAGCCATTACCCTGGGTAGAGTGCTGTAGCATCACAGCTCACAGCACCTCCAACTCTTGGGCTTAAGTGATTCTCTTGCCTCAGCCTCCCAAGTAGCTGGGACTATAGGCATCCGCCACAATGCCTGGCTATTTTTTTGGTTGTAGTTGTTTTAGCTGGCCCAGCCTAGGTTCGAACCTGCCAGCCTCGGTGTATGTGGCCAGTGCCCTATCCACTGAGCTACAGGTACCACCTACAATGTAAGATTTTTTAGAAACTAGTAGTAGTCCTAGTAGTCCTAGCTCCTTGGGAGGCTAAGGCAGTAGGATCACATTGTAGTCCTGGCTTCTTGGAAGGCTGAAGCAGGAAGATCACATTGAACCCAGAAGTCTGAGGCTACAATGAGCTGTGATTATACCACTACACTGCAGTCTGGGCAACAAAGTGAGAGACCTTGTCTCACTTGGGGGAAAAAAAAAAGGCTTGGTGCCTATGGCTCAAGCGAAACCAGCCCGGCCCACCAAACAACAATGACGGCTGCAACCAAAAAATAGCAGGGCAATGTGCTGGGCGCCTGTCCCAGCTGCTTGGGAAACAGAGGCAGGAGAATCGTTTGAGCCCAGGAGTTGGACATTGCTGTGAGCTGTGATGCCACAACTCTCTACCCAGGGCAACATCTTGAGGCTCTGTATCAAAAAAAAAAAAAAAAAAAAAAGACTCTTCAATCCAACCTCAATCCAGCCCTGGCCTATCCTCACATCCTGCCATGGACATAAACTACAAAAATAACTGCTTTAATTATACATCTGCAAGATTTTTCAATGAAATATAATTATTTTGTTTCATGTTCATGCAGTTCACAATGCCAGAAATGCTTTCACCTATTCTTTCCTTTATGTGGTCAACACAAGCTTATCTTTTATGATTCAGGTCAGACATGTCATTCTGGAATATTATCTAAATAGCCAGGCTGATTAATTACTCCTCTTACAGGCTCCCAAAATACCCCTCTACCCACAACCCTATATCACACTGATTTAAAAATATTTACTTGGCTCGGCGCCTGTGGCTCAAGCGGCTAAGGCGCCAGCCACATACACCTAAGGTGGCGGGTTCGAATCCCCAGCCCGGACCCGCC